CCTCCTGCTCTGGGGCTGGCCATGATCCCCCTGATACAATTTCAGGCCCGACAGACACCTCTGTGAGGGTGCTGCGCACTGTGTCCCCCAGCCCGGACGGAGCCGGGGTGCGGTGTCTGTACCAAGATGGGAGCTTGCTCGAAGGCTGGCAGGAGAGAGCGTGGAGCCTCCCTGTCCACCCGGCTGCTGGTAAAGGGGCACCAACACTCCCTTGCCCTGAAACCCCCCAAGCACCGAGCAGTCTGCAGGTGCAGTAGAGACCTCGGCACCCCCAAGCACCCGACCACCTTCTTCTGCAGATGAGGAGCTGGAGGCATTCGACTGGTGCTGCCGGCGCGTGGAGAAGCCCCTGTTCTGCACCAGGTTTGCCGAGAAGAGACCAAGGGTGGGCTGTGAGGGATACATGCCACCCACTCCTGGTGAGTCCCCATGGCTCTACCTCCTCTGTGCCAGGGTACTGAGCGGGTGGCATGGCCGTACACAGACCCCACGCATTAACCAAACTTTGCAGCACCCCAGTGGGGACTGCTGAGCCCAGCGCAGCACTGGGGGCTGCTCTCCTCTGTGCAATGACACCAGCATTTGCTTTTCTTCCTCCCTCCAAAATGGTTCCGTCTCCTTTGGACCCCAGCTGGTGCCTTTGGGGACCCTCACATCACCACCCTGGATGGACTCACCTACACCTTCAATGGGCTCGGGGACTTTGTCCTGCTGCTGGCCAGCAATGCCCAGACCAGCTTTATGCTGCATGGACGCACGGCCCGGACCGGTACAGCCCAGGCCACCAACTTTGTGGCCTTTGCTGCCCAGTACATCTCCACCACCACCACAACAGTGAGTAGGAGCGACCTGGGTATCGGTTTGAGGTTCTAACGGGAGAGACCCCTCTGGCAGGTTGGGCACTGCCTCTGCATCACCTACAAGTGGCTGGGACCCAAGGAGCATCCCCTCTTCTATTCCTACCACCTCCCACAACCCCAACGAAGTGCTAATAGCAGTGGGTTGGACTAAGACTAACAAGACATAGCTCTAGCACCTCTTGCAAGCTGGCCAGTAAGGGCCTGGAGCTCTGCAGGAACACAGTCTGCTCCACCGTCTTCATTGCACACCCTTCACCCTGACCACTGGTCTGCTCTGGACGTGTTAGCACAAGTGTGTACTCTTCAAAATTGCTCCCCACACCAGTTTCAGTAAGCAAAATCTCCTGGTGTCACCAGAAGCAGCCGTTGAGCAGTGTGAGGAGTGGGCTCAGAGCCTGGAGCCCACCAGCAGAGCTCTCCATGCTGTGGGGTCAGCTGAGCAGCAGCGGTGGCCTGTGCATGCCCCACAGCAGCAGTGACAGGGGGCAGCAACCATCAAAGCTTTATCCTGTGTTTGCTGGGGTGAAGAGCACGCCAACACGGCCCCCGGGGCCGAGCCTCTGTGCTGGGGCTGGAGGAGGATGGGGTTTAGCTCAAGCGCCCTCAGCAAGAGGGGACGGCAGGAAGGGATGAGCAGAGGGACATCTCTCGTGATTCACAGGTTGAGTGGACCTTGGGGAGCCAGGATGACATCCAAGTCCTCCTGAATAATGAAACCATCCAGTTTTCCTATTCCCAAGGTGAGCAGGATGTGCTGTTAAACATTAAATGTATCTGGGGGGGGACAAGGTGTGTCCCCATCCCACGGGGACCAGCCCTGCCCAGCACAAGGGCAGCCATCCTGAACTCCATCCAACATCTCCCACCTACCCTCAGTCTCTGACTCAGCTGGGGTGGGTGGGGAACGCTCCCCTCCCCAAATTCAGGGGCACCATTTCAGACCCCAGCCTTGTGTGGACTCTCCCTCTGTGCTCTCCTCTTGCAGACATGGGTGCTGAAGTGTACTACAGCCCCAGTCTCCTGCTGGTCAACGCCTCCTCCATCACAGCCATCTTCGATGGGGCCATCGCCACCTCCATCTCAGCTGCCTCCGGGATCCTCAGTGTGATCTGCAGCCTGCCTGATCAGTACCACAACAGCACCAAAGGCCTCCTGGGTGAGGACTTCTGGCACTGCTGCAGAGCTGGGGTGCAAAGTCCCCTTCCTATTCTAAAGCAGGCTAGAAAATGCTGGGGGAACGTGCTTGTGAGGGCAGGGACCTCTGGGTCTAAACTAAACACCGACCAGCACCAGAGAGGGGGTCAACCCTGACATGGGGGACTCCAGCCCTCTGGTGATGCTCCAACAGGTGTGTGGGACCATGACCCTGCAGATGACTTCCAGATGCCAAATGGTACCAGCATCCCTGTGAACAGCAGCGAGGAGGAGATCTACAACTACGGGATGACCTGTAAGTCCAGGCTTGGGATCCACCTTGACAATCCCCCCATTCCTGCAACTTCTGGCCATGCTTTGGCTGGAGACATAGGGACAGTTGTCTGAGCAAAAGCGATGCCAGGGAAGCCCTTTGGTCTCCTTACTTCTCCGTGGAAATGAGCCTAAAATATAACAAACCTTAAAAACCCAAGGCTATACCCATGGTGTGCTCTTTTGCAGGGGCTGTTGGAGGGCACAGCCTGTTTGCTCAGCCTCTGGACTCACTGGTAATGAACTTCACACCCACCTTCTTGTCTCAGCTGCGGCAGGAGAATGAAAGCCAGTACCAGCTGGCAGCCTCGCAGTGCCGTGGCAGCAAGGAGTGCATCTACGATTCGCTGAGCACAGGGGACATGGCCCTGGGCCTGGCCACCCAGAGCCTCACGGCCGACTTCCAGCAGAAGAAGACAGTGCTCAGTAAGTGGAGCAGATCCTCACCTCCAAGAGGACATGGCTCGGGTAACCGAGCAGTGCCCTGCTCCCTCACTGGGCTCTCTTGCTCCATGTGAGACGGGAGAGAAGTTACCAAGGTCTCTGAGTTGCGTTGCCTGGCTGGCTGGTCTCCAAGCCTGGGAGATGCTACCATGCTGTGCAACATGAGGGTCTTGTCGGTGAGAGGTCATGGCAGCATCTGCCTGGGGTCCCGTCCTCACCAGGAGGGACTCATAGCCAAGGGGTTCCAAGGCCACATAGCAAACAACCAGCTGTGTGCTGGGCTGCTCTTTCCTCAGACACCTTCCCTCCCATCATCATCGGTGACGCGTCGCTCACGGCCTTCAGGACAGAAAGGGTCAGGAGGCAGTACCGTGCCGTGGGAGTGGGTGCACGCTTTGTCCCCCACCTCTCACCGGAGCTCAACATATCGGGTAAGGAAGGGAAGATGGGGTAGCTGGCATGGGATGGGGGGACACCGGCAACCCAGCCTCTTTCCTCTGCCACCTCCTCTAACTGCCACCTCTCCTCCCGGCAGAGAGAGGCGGGAGCCCCGCGGGACAGCCCCCCGCACCATCAACCTGGAGGCTGTCGGCTCCAACAACCTCTCTGCCCTCCTCCAGCTCCGCTTCACCCTTTGCAGCTGCAGCAGGAGCCAGGAGTGCGACTACAGCGACACTGTCACCCTCGGGGGGTCCTCCCTGCAGGTAGTGCACCGGAAAGCTCCTCCTGTGCCACACAGTGCCTGTCCCCGTGCCAGCCGCAATGGCTGTCTTCTCTGTCCACCTGTCCTCCTGATGTCCCCTAAGCCACTGTCACTGTCCCCTTCCCAGCTGGCAGC